GATGTACAGGTAAGAGATAACCTAACTATTGAGACATTACCATTGTGAATAGAAGGTAGGGAAGTGAAGTAACTGTGAGGCAAGGGCATTACCTTAGTGAAAGTATTGTGGGGCGGACCAGCTGGTGAGAGTTGGACTTGGGAACACGAGGATCATATGAGATAGTCTTATTCGAACTTGTTACTGCCAGGTAATTTTTTAGGGCAGAAATTCTTTTAAGTGAGGGAGAGTTGTAACACCCTGAATTATAGATTAATTATTATTTAATTAATTTATCATTATTATATTAATCCTTGTCAAGTGTTTGATATATATGATGTTTTGATTCTTTGTGTAAGTCCTTGTGACGATTTATAATGTGTAATCATAATGCATTTGTGATGCAATGGCGATGACTTGATGAGTATGATATTTATAATGATGACTTGTATGGTATTTGATGGGATAGAGGTGAACGATGGAATAATAATAGGTGCTTAGGATTTAAATGAATATTTCAGAATTATTTAGATTTAATAGTAATTATTTATAATTATTAAGATTTAAATACTGAAATAATAGTGGTGTAGAGAAAATAAGGGCAAGATGGTCATTAGTGAAGGATAAGTGAGGATATGATGGGAAGTTAATGATTAGGTGTCTAAGATGGAAAGTTTGGTATAAGGAGAAGGTTTGGGATTTTATACGATCATTTTGTACGATCGTGGAATTGGAACAAACGTTGTGGAGAAAAGAAGTCTATGGCATAAGAGGCAAGAAGAGCATAGGAATCTCGGTAGAGTACGAAGAGAAATTGATATCTAGCAATAATCTTAAGGTAAGGGGTTTTTTATCATTGTTATGATATTTGATTTAAGGTATAGATGATGGTAGATTGCCTTAGATTTTGGTATATAAGGATTTGGTGTTGTTTGATGAGGAATTGATGAATTGGTGATGAATAATGACTTATAATTGATGTATAATGGGTATAGAATTATATGTTGATAGATGATGAAACCTTGTGATTAAATGATGTTTTAGGACCTATAATATAGTGAAATTGTAGAATTTGAGACTGGTTTTATGCAGGAAATTGCAACAGGAAAACCTTGTTCGCGCAGCGTTGCCAAGAGGCGTAGGTATGTCATCGGGCAAAGACACATCGCCTGGCAAAATAGGTAGTGACAAAGGGAAGAAAATAGTGATGCTTTTGGAGTGTTTCACTCCAAGTGTCGTTGGGCGGTCATGGTGGCGAAGGGAGCATCGCCGGGCGATGGAGGTGTATCGCCAGACGATGATGTCCAATTTTGATTGGTTGTATTGGATTTTCTTAAAAGAGTCATAACTTGAGTTTTATAACTCGGAATGAGATGTCGTTTGAAGCATTGGATAGATAATGAGATTAACTTTATTTTTGTGGACTAAATGAAGAATAAAAAGTATATTCATAATGATTAATCTAGAATAAAGTTAGGTTCCCCATGTTGGATTATGAAGATGTTTGTTTATTAAGATGATTAGCAGATGAATAAAGGATGATTAGGAGACATTATGATGATACCTTATATAACATGATGACATGAAGATATGTTGTATGATATGATGATTTTTGGACATTATGATGACATGATGATGATATTATAATGATGTTTTATTATGATGATGATTACACGATGTTATGATGATATGATGTTTTATTAAGATGATTATATGACGATATGATGTTATGATGATGATATGATGATGTAATCATGAATGGTGATGTGTGTTGACTAGATGTGTTCGTGTTTATTATGTTATTTCACATCATGCATTCATGGTATATGTTAGGACTTCGATCCAGTAAATTTAGGACTTCGATCCAGTAAAGACGATAGGACGATTGTCCATTGAAGGCAACAATCAGTGTGGATTGAGTGCAACAGTGAAGTACTCTGGTTCCAAGTGGGAATCGATCCTATGGTGGGGGTCTTTGGAGATAATGATGACTAAGTCATCAGTGAAGTTTTTGTACCACATGCATGAGTCTATGATGATGTATTACATTTTATGTGACATTGCACAGTGATGTGATTAAATGATAATTATTGATAAATGGTGTGTTGATAACCCGTTGTTATGAATTGATGAGGTTGTGAAGGTGTGAGTATTACATGAATATATGAAGATGTGTGATGTCTTACTTATGTGCATATTTACTATGTTTATTCATTATGTCTTATATAATGATTATGATTTACTCACATTTTCTGCTTGAGTGTTGCCTCCACGTGGGTAATGCTAGGTGATCGAGAATAGTCGTAGAGGCATTAGAGGATAGCTTCAGAGTGTGTTATTTGCTTTTGTTGAATAAAGGGAGTCTTGTTCTGATATGTAATATCGGGGTTGGGATCGAATGATTGGAAATTATGTTCTTTGTTTTATTTTAAGATGTTGAGTCACCCTACATGGTACTCGAGATGTTTTGATTTATAAGTATGAGTTATAAAGCATGACTAAATTTTATGAAGTATTATAATGAAGTGTTTTGAACTATGATTTTCGCTGCAATGATTTGAAGAACTAAATGTTGAATCCATCTTTTTAAATAGTTTGAAAAACCCGTGTTACGGATCAAGATGTATTGTTATGATGTTTTATATGAAGATGTTACACCCTTGTTGGTGATATACACTAATTTATTTATTAAGATAGTTGTGAATATTCCTTAGGGTGTTGAAAAATGTCACGGCATATACATCAACTTGATGTAAATAATGCTTTTCTATATTGAGATCTTCATGAAGTTGCGTACATGAAAGTTCCACAAGGATCCCAATCACCTGGACAAGGTCAAGTATGTAGACTTAGAAAATCTCTTTATGGCTTGAAACAAGCAAGTAGACATTGGTTTGACAAGATGACTTTTTTCCTCTTGAGTCATGGTTTACTCAAGGTCAAGAAGATCATACAATCTTCATTAAATCTACTTTTGATACATTATTGGCTCTCCTAGTATATGCAAATGACATACTACTAGATGAACCTAGCTTGATAGAGTTTGATTCACTTAAAGAGGCTTTGAACTCTGCTTTCTGAAAGAACCTAAGAGAATTAAAATTCTTCCTAGAACTAGAGGTAGCTCAATCTACAGGGGGAGTTTCTATTTTCCAAATAAATTATTGTCTTAAGTTACTTGAAACTTCATACAGAAGTATCTGCAAACGTGCTAACACACCTCTAGATCAATTCATCAAGCTAAACAATGATGATAGTCCTCCATTAACTGATGTGGGAGCTTATAGAAGGCTTGTTGGTCAATTAATATACCTCATTACAACTAGGCCTGATATTGCACATGCAACTCAACAACTTGGTCGTTACATGCATTTCCCTATTGAAAATCATCAAAAGGTTGTTATGAGAGTGTTTAGGTGCTTGAAGAATCCACGTGGTTGTGGCCTTCTTTTTTCCACAAATTCTGCCATTCAATTGCAAGGATTCATTGATGTTGACTAAGGAGGTTGCTTAGATACTAGAAGATCTATATCATGATATTGTTTCTTTATTGGCCATTCTCTCATTTCCTAGAAATCAAAGAAGCAAAATATTGTGTCATGTTTCATCAATTGAAGCTGAATACAAGGCCCTTGCAACAGTAACCAAAGAGCTGTAGTGTTTTACTTTTCTGATACAAGACCTAGGTCAATCATGCATTAGACAGTATGTGCTCTATTGTGATAGCCAAAGTGTTATGCACATAGTTTTAAGAGTGAGTTTGTATGGTTACTGGTTAAAGAAGTTAATCAGTCTCCAAATTTGTTAGAATATTGTGATAGCCAAAATGTTATGCATATAGTTTTAAGAGTGAGTTTGTATGATTACTTGTTAAAGAAGTTAATCAGTCTCCAAGTTTGTTAGAAGTAACCAACTAGTAAATACCTCAGGCTACTGCAAAAGCTGAGCTTGTAATCATTGTTGAAGTAATGAATAATTGCTTTCATTCATTTCTCTTATGATTGAAAATATTGTTACACACTAAAATTACTTTCTACTCCTTAAAATAAAAAGAAACTAATCATACACTTAGTATATATTTGGTTTAACTTTTACCAATTCTGAAAATATATGATTGACTTTGGAATGATTTTGAAGTATTTGATTTTTCTAAAGCTAAATTCTACCTCTAAATACCTCCAAATTTGTGGTTCAACTCAATTTTATACAATTTAATATTGAACTCAATTTTGCATAAAGTTATTTAAATATAATCACTTTACCTTCAACCCACTTTAAATCAAAATTAATTTTACATGATCGATTCCCTCGAAATCAATTTTTTTTCACCACAATCAAACATAAGCTTAACTAGTTTAAAGCTAACCTAGTTATTCAAAAAAAATAGTGAACACAATTAACATTTCTTATAAATACTTGAGTTTTGATGAATTACATTACAATTGACTCAACAATAAGTTTAAAACTTTCTGTATGTACTATCACAAAAACAATAATAATAATTTCTATGACAATGTCATCTTTACACAGCACTAGTAGGAAACAGGAAGAATTGAGTCAACAGATTTTTACATTCACTGAAGCCTAAGAACACACTTAGATGAAAGCAGTCATTAACTGATACAACTGCACAAAGGATGTGAAATATGGTCACAGTTAAAGACTCTAAGGGTATGATTCTCACACTAGCAGCAAAAGAGACCTACATTTAGAGGTTATCGATTTACGAATAGTTCTGCAGGTCCATTCTGGTCTTTAAATGTTTGTGGCGTTGTCGCAATAGTTCTTGAATGCAACAAAAATACAGAAACACACTTAAATACATTTTTTGCTTGTTAGTTTGGTCATTGAACACGTCTTCCATTAATAAATGTGATCCATCAAACCAATAACAAAAACATACTTTATGATGTTTCTGTAATTTCATACATTCAAGAACTTAGAACTGTAGTGACAACGCCTCACATTTAGAAACCAAAATGGCTTTTTAATCGGTTCCTTCTGCGTGTTATATTTCGGCTTCAGTTGCTCTGAATGCTTGGAAGAATTGGTTTTTCATTTTCAGAAATTTCTCTCGATCGGGTTATCTTCCCATTCTTCTTCTCGTACTCTAGTTTCAGTTCCTCTAATCGCTTTGTTATCTGACAAGAAAAAAAATGTAGATTCATAATCATAAGAATTATGTGATGTGACTCGAATAAAAAAGGGATACAAACACATACTTGAAACAACTTGCATGATATAATACAGTACAAATAGTGAATGAAAACAAAAATTCTCAAACATATTTTTAAAATCTCTATCATTAGATGTGATGTAAGTTATTTGAAGTAGAGTTATCTTTTCAGTCTACTAGTAATCATGATTATTGGGACAGTATTTATTGTAATTTCTTCCATATAAACAGTCCTAGGCTGTAGCTCAATGGTATCAGTAGCTCAAGGTTTTACGATCTAGACGTCACTAGCGACAGCGCGCATGAGATACTTTCATCGTTGTTCGTGATGGTACAACAATACTATTCATTGGCATTCATACAATGGTACTTTCCGCGCATCCGTACGGCAATAAACATAACAGTATTTTTCCCATTACTTTCTATATGGTATCAATAGCTCAAGGTTTTACGATCTATATGTCACTAGCAATGGCGCATGAGACATTTTCGTCATTGTCCGTGATGGTACAGCAATACTATTCATTGGCATTTATTCAATGGTACTATTTGTGCACATAGGTACTGTTCATTTGCCAGTACGGCCGCAAAAACTGCTGTTTATCTGTGCCGTTTGTTTCGATAGGCTTATTATCTTGTCTTCCAGGTTTGATAAGGACTACTTCCAACTTGCAGTTCCCGTGTTTGAAGTTATTTCAATTCTCTTCTGCAATACATTGTTGCAGCCATCCACTGCTAAGCAAACATATGTGGCATATCTATGGAACAAATAAAAAGCTCCATGGCAAACACCCAAACTAGAAGAAAAATAAGGGAAATGAAAGGCATGCTCTCCATGTAACCACTAATCAAGAAAAGTAGTCTGCTTCAACTTTTAAAATCTCATTTTCCTTCACGTACAAACTCCCTGAAACTCAAACTCTTTGCTCTATAACTCGTTGATACAAAATTGAGATTGCCGATGAGTCTCTTTGAGCCATTGCAGGGAAAAGTTTTGTTGTTATATCACCCCTAGCTAACACTCAAAGATGTTTTGCATATTCCTAATTTGTTTTGTAGTATTTTAAGGGTATCAAGTGTATCCTGCTATAATACATTATAAATTCTAAGGAGAAAAACAAATCTTTTTGGTCTGAGATAGTGTTGTTAAATAGCAGCTATAGCAGGGTAGCGTAGCAGAACTTTAACAAACAGCTTTTGTTCTGCTATACGCGATTTAGCACAAAGTATTGTCAAATAGCAACTAGAGCAGTGCTATAGCAATGTAGCCTAGAAGAATTTGATCAAACCGCTATTTTTGGCTAACCTCGACTGACAACACTGGTCTGTGCAAGTGAAAATAGATTGAAAAGTATAGGAAAAAATAGAACCTTGATGGAATAAGCCAACGGCAATAACGTGTCAGGATTCATTGCATCCTCGGAGAAGTTTTTCAGGCCATGTATCAGTTTTTCAAAAGGTAATTTAACCTGATAAGCAAACGAAAAAAACAAGCAATGAGTGGAAATTCGGTTTGAGTCATAAAAAACACCGTCGCGTTATACTACTTATTACTTACCAAGTCATCGTGGCAGTACTTTAGTAAGGCCAAGCCAACTTTAAAAACAATTTTAACACCCTGGAAGGATAAGAATGTCATTATTATAAATTAGTGTTTGCACGCAACAAATGGAACTTCTTGGGGGAGTGCGTGGCTTACCTCGTAAAGAAACACATCCCAGATTCGCAGAGCTAAATGGAATGGAAAGGAATATGAAAATACAGTTATGAACCACTGGCTTGCATACATGCTAGGATTTATCATTTCTTCTGAAAAATGTTCTCCCAACTTCGGTAAATGCTCCCTCACCAAACGTTCAAATTGAAAGAGGTATTGCTGTACCAGAGGCAATCCTGCCTACATTCAAAGAGCAATTAAAAGTCACAACATGCGTTCAAATCAAAACATTTCAGGGTCTTTAGTCATACAGAGCACCGGTGTTGTCAAATAGCTGCTAAGCAGCGTTAAAAATAGAGTAACAGACTAACAAAAATATGATATGCATTTCAAGGTCTTTAATCACACAAATCGCCAGTGTTGTCAAATAGCTGCTATAGCAGTGTTAATAATAAGTGTAAAGACTAACAAAAATATGAACATATCGCTATTGTTCTGTGATACGTGATTGGGTACGAAGAGTTGTCAAATAGCCGCTATAACAGCACTGTATCATTGTGGTGTAGTAGAATTAAACAAACCGCTATTTTTCACAATATGCAATTGAGGTAATACATTGACAGTGTCAACAATCAAAACTAATGAATTCATGGAACAGAATAGTTACCAGATACAGCCCCTCCATTGGCGCATGAACGGCGCCTTTAAGCAATGCCACCAATAACCAAAATGCATCCTCCTCGCTCATGTAAAGAAGCAAAAGACCAGCTAAAAACCCCATTCCCTGGACATATCCTACGTCTCTGTCAAAAACTGAGTAAGCTTTTAGAACATTGTAGAGAGACCGTTGCCCAGGTCCGTGTCTTTGTTGGAAGAATACATGTGAAGGGAAAGTCCGAGAAATGTCTCGAATTATATCCAATTCAGAGGCTGATGTCTCATATATCACCAATTGCTGCAATAAGCATCATACTTTGTCAAAAAGACGAACAGTTGTTGAATAATATTCGTGACAATGTCGAAAAGAACATGGAGGAAACCTCATAATATAAATAATTAAATATGTTGTTTTAATTCCTTCATTTCATATATTGGCCCTATTCGGATAAACAAATTAATTGAGTTTACAGCATAAACATTTGTCATGTGAGTGTTAATTCCTTCATTTCATATATTGGCCTATTCGGATAAACAAATTAATTAAGAGTTTACAGCATAAACATTTATCACATAAGTGTTTATGCATAAGCTATTTCTATAACAAAAGATAAAGTCGTCAAATTATTTTCATTTAACCTATAAGCTGTTTTTGTAAGATATCCTAGAGAGCTCATAAAAATTAAGTTGAAAACCATTCATGGACATGTCATAAGTTGTCTCTATAATCTCTCCCGAGCAGACTCACAAGTACTTATGTTAGTAGATAAGTTCAAATAAGTTATAATCACAAGAGACCTTTTAACGCATAGCCACCAGAAACCTAATTGTACTTGCAAAATGTAAATTTTCTTCAATTCATATTAGTTAGAGAACTGCAACAAGAACATAACTGTGACTAGCACTAATCATAGCTTATAGAATATTGTACAAATAAATCACAATATATCGTTTGAACAAGTTAACTTGATTACCTCGTAAACTCCAGGATTCATCAGCAATAGGTCTCGGCTTCCAGATATTAACTGCCAAACAAGGCCCCTTAAACAATCAGGAATTCCTTTCCTTATACGCCTTTTAACAACATTAGGTTTTTTCCTTAGGTAATGTTTCCAATCACTCCCACCAACCCCAATCATCTTCCTCCATTTTCTAACCCTTCTCCGTTCCTTAATTCTGATCAAAGATAGACGACTATAAAGTTAAAAATCACCAGCCAAATTTCTATGCTAATTCATGCTTAAAAAACACAAAAACACATAAAGCAGCAAGAGAAAAAATAAACATACTTCTCATACTCATATGCAGATCTATTCGTCTTGGCAACGCCCTCAGAAGTGTTAGCATCCGGTTTTACAAACCCGAATCTATCCAACGCTCTTGGTGAAGGAAGTGGACCTGATTCATAGTCATCACTTCTTTTCCTTTCCATTCAAAAAGCAGAAATTAACTCTCTCAAACCAGAACAAAAATGACATAGTTTGCCTCAAACATTACAATGACAAAAACCTGAAAATAAAAGTGCAAAAAAGATTATGTCACAATCATTTCGCTAAAACTATTGCAGATAGTTGTAGAATTTACTTAATTCATCTAAAGCTATTAACACGAACAAAAACATACACCACTACCACCCCGTACCCCCAAATATAGAGTAACCGAATCCTGCAAATTAACAATGTTGTTAAATAGCGGCTATAGTTGCGCTATAGTGCGATAGCATAGCGAATGTTATTGTTTGCAATACACTATTTAGTACAAATGTTGTCAAATAGCGGCGCACTCGTGTAGCGGAATTTGAAAAGACGACAAAATTAATTGATATCTCTATAGCACCAACACATACCGACCTTTAATTTATTCACTTTTCAAATTATTAAATGTGTCGACGTGTCAGTGTTGTCCGTGTTTAATAGATTGATATATCCCAAAAAGTAAAGTAAAAACATGTTTCTTTCTTCTTCATTAAGCAACAACTTATAAGAGAAGGCTATGATTGTGCTACCAAAGATACACTATCTATAAAATTTTACTTTTTCCATTCAATGCACAACAGCTTACTACTAAACTTCACAAAAGAGCTAAAAGAACCAAATTTACAACAAACAAAAAAAGTGTGATTTCATGAACCATACCATAATTCTAACGTTATATGATGTGATTTCATTTCAGCATTCAAGAAATAACAGATTAATCAATCTAATGATGAAAATCAGCGGTGATAACAAAAGGGGTTAATAATTAGGGCACCCAAAATTATCAAGAAAATCATTATCAGCAACAAACCTTGAAATTGAAATTGGAAAGGGAGGTTCTTTAGAAGAAGAAGGAACGATCCAAAATAATCATGAAATTGGATGCAGTTGCCCGATAAAGAAGAAATGATCTTTTTTTTCTTTTCTTTGGGTGTTTGTGCTATTATTGTTACAAACTTTATTTATAATAATAATAGTTCTCTTAATATTGTTACAAACTTTATTTATAATAATAATAGTTCTCCATTAAAAATACTATTTTTTAACAATAGATGAAAAAAAAAAACATCAAAATTTATTTTTGTTTATATTTTAAAAAAATTGAAATGTCGGTTAAACGCAATAGAGAGACGAATTTAGAGTTCGTCGAACATTTCTCAGTTGAGATGGATTTAGAGAAGTGAAATTGCAGTCCAACAAAATCGAGTTAAATTTTTCTAAAGTTTATCAAGATCTTACTATAAAGGAGCGTTTTAATACTTATGATATTTTAGCTGAAAAATAAAAATGAAAATGAAAATCTTAAAGGACAAGTAGCATAAATTATTTCTCTATCTACTATTAGTTATATTTTTTTAAGGGAAAAAAAGATTAATTTTGAGAAAAATGTTGTCTGAAAAAATAGAAAAAGTATTTCATTTAAAGTTACTTGTCATTATTGTCATGATAAAGGTCACAGCATTAAGTTTCGTTGTCATATTAGGAATGTCAAAACTCTTAACAGTACCATGGCATGGATACTTAAGTGTATTTTAACTAACTCAAAGATCTATTAGTTAGGTATCTAAATTACCTGCTTGATTGTTTTTAGAAATGTCTTGTCTCTACGAAAAAATTGTGGTTCCTAGATAGTAGATGCTTAAGACATATGACGGAAGAGACTCTAATGTTTATCAAGTTTGATCAGAACGGTCATGTCACATGTGGAGACAACACACAAGATAAAATTCTAGGAGAATGTGTTATGGAAAATCCCTCCATAATTACCATTGAAGGTGTTTTATTAGCTAAAGGGTCTAAGCACAATTTACTTAGCGTTAGTCAATTATGTGACAAGTGGTATTCTATTGTTTTCGATAACTTAAGTGGCTTAATTGAACATAAGACAAGTTAATGTTTAGTGTTTAAGGGTTCTATGATAGATAATATCTATTTTCTTAACTTAGATGGTGTGTCAATGTGTGGTACTAAATATTTAGTCACTAAGAATGAAGATTCTTGGTTGTGGCATAGTCATTTAGGTCATATACATTTTAACTTAATAAATAAGATAGCATTTAAGAATCTAGTAGTCCGTTTACGCAAAATAAAGTTTTCAAAAGATAAACTTTGTGATGCTTGCCAAATGAGAAAGAAAACGAGGATATCTTTTAAATTGAAAAGGTTGTTTCAACTTCAAAATCTTTCGAGCTTCTCCATCTAGATTTATTTGGTCCTTTTAGGATAAGAAGTTTAGGTGGTAACTATTACAAATTTGTAATTATGGATGACTTTTTTAGAATTATATGGGTGTTATTCTTAACCCATAAGGAAGAAACCTTTAAGGATTTTGATAAATTTTCTAAGATTGTCCAAAATCTTTTTAATTTGAAAATCGTCACACTCGATAGTGATCATGGTGGTGAGTCTGCACACCATCAATTTGAAAACTTTTGTAACGAAAACAAAATTACTCATAACTTCTCATGTCCGAGAACTCCATAATAAAATGGTATTGTTGAGCATAAAAATCTTATTTAGAAGAATTGGCTCAGACAATGATATGGGAAATGAGTTTTCCTAAGTAATTTTAGGCGAATAAGATTAATATCACATGCCATGTCTTAAACAGGATGGTCATTCGATAATTTCTATAGAAGACATTGATCTTGTCGGTTGATTAGAACTTGTTAGTGGGCCGACTGATGATTTCTGGTTCGCTGGAAAATTGAGGAGAAAATAGGGGTTGTACCTGCAAGGCACTTCGACGATCTAGTAAGAATGAGAGCAAAGAGATACAAGCAAAATATTAGGGTTTAAGGTTTTAAATTTGATACCTGGCCCTCACAAGTGTGAACGCTTATATAGTTTCCCCGACGCGTAGTCATTGGTCCCTATTTTTGGGCCTAGATATGCGGGTCTGTAAAAATAGGTAACTGCACACTTTTTTCCATCATTAAACTAAAACCTCCTACCACAATTAGAATAGAAATGGAGAGAGGGGATCCCCTTGTCTCAACTCTTTACCCATCGAGATTTTTTATGTAGGACTACCATTAATCAATATTGAAACTTTAGTTATTTCTAGACATTCTTTAATCCGTTTTCTCCACTTTACATTGAAGCCTATATTTTCCATCATAAAATCTAGAAATTTTCAATCCATTGAATCATATGCCTTTTCAAAGTCAGCTTTAAATAAGATAGCTTCTATTTTTTCCCCTCTTTGCTTCATCTACCAACTCACTCGCTATAAGTATGCAGCCTCCTATTTGTCTCCCCTCCAAAAAAGCAAACTGAGATCCTGAAATCACCTTATGCATCCCCTTCTTAAACATATTTGCAAGCATCTTAGCTAAAACTTTATACATGCTCCCAATGAGTGAAATTGGCCTAAACTCTGTTATCTTAACAGGATTCTCTACTTTTGGTACTAATGTAATGAATGAACTGTTAATTCCTTTTGACAGTTTACTATTCGAGTGAAACTCAGTAATGAATCTAACAAAATCTCCTTTTAGGACCTCCCATAATTCTTTCATAAATTCTAGATTCACCCCATCCATCCCTGGACTCTTCGAAAATTTGAATCCCGCACTACTCCTCTAATTTCTTCTTCAGTGAACTTGGTTGTAAGTAAACTATTGTCTTCTACACCAATCCTCTTAAAATCAAACTTCCCCGATGATGGTCTATTGATCTTACTATCTCTATACACTTATAAGAAGAAATAAAAAATCTCTTGTTTAATATCTTGAACTTCATATAAATTATGGCCATCCTTTTATATACATGTAATCTCATTGTATTTTCTTCTATTTAAGACAACGATAAAAGAACTTCGAGTTGGCATCGCCTTCCCTAAGCCACCTCAGTCTCGACTTTTGCCACTGCATACTTGTTTTCAGTTTTGAAAGTAGAAAAAGTTGATCTGAGGATTCTCTTTTAATATTTACTTCCTCAGTCGTTAGTGTTATACTTTCTCCTTTACCTTCCAACTCATTTACAGTCCTTCTCGCTGCAACTATTTTTTCATCTAAATTCTCAATATGCTTCTTACTTCACTCTTTGATTTTTCCTTTGACCAACTTTAGCATTTCTATCAACACATAACCACCTCAACCTTGCACCTCCAGCAATCTCTAAGTTTCTTCCACAAATTTATGATATCCTTCTAGCTCACTCCAACACTAGAACATACACAATGGTTTCGACCCCAATTCACCTCTTTATCACAAATTATGATATGATTTTGATCTGAGAGACTTTTTCCAAACAACACTGAGCATAATTCGACCAATGTTGCAGCCACCCTTCTGAAATGAGAAATTTATCGATTCGACTCATAGACGGTCCCTCCCGATTAGACCAAGTAAAACGTATTCCTTTCAAAGGTAAGTCCACGAGATCAGATTCTAATATGAACTCATCAAAGCCTACCATCTCTACTCTCCTATGATGTTCTCCAACACCCTTCCTCTCAGCTTCATACCTTATCGCATTGAAGTCTCCCATGATACACCACCTTGTTGTAAATGGTTTTAAAATAAGAGTTGTCATCCTTAATTTTTATCCTAAGGAAGGGAATATAAAGGTTAACCCTAAAAAGTCAGAGATTCTAGGTTTTTTGACTCGGTTTTAGATGAAGGAAACGTGTTAGGCACCCCTCATCTACCTTGTTCACAAGGATACTAGGTTTAGAATTAATCTTTAGGGAATAAGATTTTTTAGTATTTTATTAAGGGAACTCGCGATTTTAGTCGTATGCCTACGTATCCTCTTAGGAGTAATTTGAGTCCCAATCCGTAGTTCGCAGTGGGTTGGTGTATTTTATAGGATTTTCTTGTCTGGGTTTTGTAAAAGAGTGACCGTAGACGCAGTTCGTAGTTAATTTTGATAGCAATTCTCCTTAATCCTTTTTCGAAAATATTCTTAAGGTTTTGATTAAGTTAGTAGAAAAATAGTTTATTGTTGGTTA